AGTGGAAACCAAATCGGTCCATTCAAAAAAAACAATTCCAGCCCATTCAAGGGCCCTCCGGTCACTAGCAATATGGGCTTGCAAAAGGTATGGCATCGACTCAACTGAAGTACTAGTAGCAACTTCTGTAGGATGCAAAATCAAATCCACCGTCCCATCTTTAATAAAACAGTGAAATATTTGGGTCATATTGCGAGACAACTATAGTTTATTAGTTTTGCATGTTCAAGTAATTTCTCAATTTGGCAATATACTCATCCTTTGGGACACTTACACCCATCCTTCAAGAATCTTCCTTTCAGTAAAACATAAATTAGAAAACCATTTAAATAAAAATCACTCTTTTATCTTTTTATCCTCCAACACATTCTCTATATCTTGTGCGCACTTAAAAATCGGGAATAGATGGTGGCTATATTTAGAGATCTAATTAAAAAAATGTTTGAGAGTATTTTTTTTCACCAAAATATTTATTTTTATCAATTAGGAAGAATATAAAAAGACTCTCGGAGTTACTCTGAATACACAGACACGCATTCTACTTTTATGAACACTTCAAGATTCTGAGCTCAGAGATCTTGACAAACTTGAATTTTGCTATCAATAAAGAGCATCTCTAAAAGTCTCTCTTAAACTCACTCTCTAAGAGCAACTATAAAAGCCTGTTTATGCCCTTTCTAATTTATAGGGATAGAGATTATGGTGAAAAAAATATTCTCCAACATTTTTTTTTGAATGATCTTCAAATATGACATTCTCTAGCTCCTTTCGGGCGCTATACCTGCCAGCTGCCGTCTGGCGGCGCCGGAGGTTAAGATTCAGCCATTCAGGGGATCCACTTTTTATAACACCTTTCTGCGTACGAAAACGTATGCGGGTTGTTCCGGAATGCCACACGCTTTGGAGTCGAGAAATTGAGGTGGTGCACGGCGACAGCGAGCGAGCGATTGTTAACGCGGGAAACCGAGCTACCACGCCGAACGACGGCGAATCGTCATCCACGCGCCGGCCGGATCCGGAACACGCAACAAAGCAGCGTGCGAACCGCGTCGATCCCGCGGTGGTTATCGACGACACAAGCGCCGTCGTCACGCACGTCTTCGCGGCGTCCTCATAATGTACTCGCCCCACTTGGCGGACGTTAGGTGATAGGCACGCGCGACGGCAACGGCGACGGAGCGGAGACCGCGGCAACGCGCTCGTAGTCAAATCCGCGCGCCCGCCGCCGGCGTCCGATTTCCCGGGTGGCCCCGCGCGCACGGCCTTTGTCTGTGTGGCCAATCGCGGCGCGCCGGTGCCCACGCACTGGCGTCCTGCCCACGGCTGCTACACGCGCGAATGGTACGTTCACTTGTGAGAGATGGACGTCAGGTGCCATGTCGCGGCAGAACCGTACAAGGCTCTATGGTCTTCTCTTAGGCTAACGTTGAGTTCACGAAATTTAAAATTTTAACTACCATAGCATTTTTATTTTTATTTAGCAATTAGTGTTTAATTATGGACTAATTAGGCTCAAAACGTTCGTCTCGCGGTTTCCAATCAAACTGTACAATTAGTTTTTTTTCGTCTACATTTAATACTCCATATCGTAAGATTCGATGTGATGGCTACTGTAGCACTTTTTGGGAAAGTTTCTGTGAACTAAACACAGCCTTATAATCCGTCTTTTTCAGTTTTTTTTCAGCCATAACGGTATTTTTCTTTCACAACAAATCAGCCGGAACAGTGTTTTGACTTGTTTTTTCAGCGAAACGAACGGGGCCTATAGGTCATCAATTCGCTGGGGGCTGCACGCGCGGGCTCGTCAACTTTGAAGAGATCGGAAACCTATCCGAGTTTTGCCGATATACAGTCTGTTTGCTTGTTGGTTTCAGTCAAGGCTTATCAGCCAGCCAACAGTATTTTTCTCTTACAATAAACCAGCACCAGTCGAGCTTATCAACTCAAAAATCAACCAGTGAACGGGCTGATAGGGAGGGGGTTTCCATTTCCCTGACCTGTCCGCATTAGAACTATTGGGCGCCAAGTGCAGCTGTGGTATAACGTGCAGGCAGAGTAGGCGTGCAGCCATGAACTGATCAACTGCTGCGCGCCAGTGCACCCGACATAAGGGGTGATGATGGGCTTAGTTTGATACTAAAATTTGGTTGCCTCGCGTCGTGGTCGACGTAGTTGGAAAGCATAACTCACATGTCCGCACAGGACTTGGACCGAGTAATAGCAGCCAACCACCGACGGGGAGGGAGGATGGGAGGAAGGCAGCCGCCGTGGTGACTGGTGAGCACGAACCAGCAGCCGGCGCCCTCGCGCGCGTGCCGCCGATCGGCCGGGTCAGAGTATCAACGGGGGGTAGGCAGCCTCGCGCCGGCAGGCAGGACGTACATGTGGTCTCACGCCCGCCGAGACGTCGACCCGTCGCGTTTGCTACTGCCACAGCACGCGATCGGAGGCCGCGCGCGCGGAGGCACACAGAGCGTCGGAGCGCCTTGGCAACAAGCCAACAACCAACGTGGCCTTTTGACCACCGCATCGCGCATCTGATGCTCATTTTCCCTTTTTCCAGAGGCCACGACTCGCGGTGGATCGGCGGCGGCGCGCGTAAAACTCAAACTCCATGTCGCCGTCATGACTCGCGACTCGGTGACGTTTCGGCAGCTGAAATATACCGGCAGCAAGCCAGCAAGCACCTCGCCCTGGTCGTCGGCTTCGCTCTGGTCGGCGGCGATCTAGAAACGCGCGGCGCGGTTCAATCCTCAGACTTGTTGTTGGGCGTTGGCCATCTAGATGGCGAGACGAGACGCTAGCGCGCAACCACGTAGGACGTTGATGCGCCGCGGCGAAGTCGACCGGACACGGTAGTAGGAGTACGCGGTGCGCTAGCTAGGGAGAGGGCAGCGGCCAGGCGCGCTCATGGTCATGATGGTTTCCTTGCTCAGGCAGACAGCTGCTGCGATAGCGAAAATGTCTCTTGTTAATTTGGGGTGAATGATGATGAGATGAGACGAGGCGGAGGTTGGCTCGAGTCACGGGCACGTCGAGGCCGATCGTCGATCGTCATCGTGCTTGGCACTCGTGATTCCCGCCGCTCCCGATCCAGAGCTCCGGCGTGCGCTCCGTGTATAGTTTACTGCGATTTGGGAGGCAATGCAGCATTGCAGCGATGGGGACCGCGTCGTCGTCGTCGGTGGTCCAACGGGCCTTTGATTATTCCGAGGGAAGAGAGCTTCGTGCTCGGGGGCGTGATAATAATTGGAGACACATGGGGAGGCGGTCAGCACGAACAGTAGGATTAGAGGAATCGCACCAGCCGAGTAGCGGTTGACGGAACAAGGAGAAATATAGCACGGGTAGCCCAGTAGGCCAGTAGTAACGCACCAGCTCGAACAACGTAGGGTACGTAGTATAACAAAAGCCGACGGAGTTAGAACCGAGGGAACGGGATTGATCCATGCCTATCCAAGACAACAATTCCTATGCAAAGCTAATAATGTAGTCCAACTTTTCTCATTTTATTACAGGTGAAAAAATCCACACGACACTTCGTAAACATCCTACTGCGGATATACTATGAGCCCGGCCGTATGGTCATACTATGTCATCGATATGATAAAACTTAAACCATCTGTTCCAGAACCAAAAAACACACACACACACACAATTATAACTACAAAGTATATTTAAATTGGTCAAATTGTTAAATAAATCACAATGTCTATATATGATATCAAATAAGAAGTATTTACTAGATCCATCATAATTTTTTATACACTCCCTTTTTAATTGTCGTTCTTGCTCCCGAGGAGCGAGAAATCAAACATATTCAACATTAACCAAATATATACAATAAAATACTAATATTTATGAGACATAGTTAGTATCACTAGATGGAACATTGAATTTATTTTTTATAATAAACTTATTTTGAGATAGAAATATTAGCCTTATTTGACATAGCTTCACCAATAACTTTATGAAATTTTGTGAGCTGTTTTTTTACCAAATGGGTCTTTTAAAAGCAGCTTCAATGAAGCTTTTATTAAATCGTGTTGTCACGTGGGAGTGAGGTAGGTTGAAGCAAGAAATAGTAACTTTTTACGGCTTTACCTCATACTTATAGACCCTGTGTGGGATTAGGTAAGAATAGGTGTTTAAGCAAATTTACAAGTAGAGCTAGTTTTGCCTAACGGGTCACTAAAACAACTTTAGCTTCACCAGGAAACTATTCGTGAAGCTGGGTTATGCCGAGCAGGGCCTAATATTTTCTATAAACCTAGTTAGATTTTTCATAGCAACAGTTAAATAAGGATAGAGGGAGTACATATTTGTAATTATAGTTGTTTTGCCTAAAGGGTCACTAAAATAACTTTAGCTTCACCAAGAAAACTATTCGTGAAGCTAAGTTGTGCCAAGCGGGATCTAATATTTTCTATAAACCTAGTCAGACTTTTCATAGCAACAATTAAATAAGGACAGAGGGAGTATATATTTGTAATTATAGTCTTCATTATTTTCTATATTAGTTTATAGTAAATTTAGAGCCTCTTTGGTACGGTTTATGCCGGCTTCGGCTTCATCTATTTTTTAAATAAATCGAGATAATTTGAAGCGTGAAGCCGTTTTGTAAGCCGGGTTAAAAAAAAAAAGTTTCGAGAAAAGCAGTTTTTTTACGGTTTTTTGAAACTTTGGTTTTCACCGGTGAAACCGTTTTAGATGAGCCGTGCCAAAAAGAACTTTAATAGTTTGATTTAGACTGCAGCATCTAGAGCTGTAGTTGTACTAATAAGGTGGTAGTAAAACGGCAATAGGTGTGGGCCCTATCCCTAAACAAAGAAGAGAGGCCCCGGGTTTGTTTCCCCCGCCGCGTGTTTTCTGGCTCTATAAAATCCCGCAATCCCTTGCCAGCGACACCCACGAACTCCAGAAATAATCAGCCCTCGCATCCGCACGCCCACAAAACCACGAAGAAAAGAAGAGGAGGAACGCCGCAAGTTCACGCGACGATGGAGAACGCCGCTCCCGCCATCGCCACTCCATCGCTGCCCAAGAAGCCCTCGCCGTCGTTCCGCCTCCGGAACGGCAGCCTCAACGCTCTGCGCCTGCGCCGCGTGTTCGACCTCTTCGACCGCAACGGCGACGGCGAGATCACCCTCGACGAGATGGCCTCGGCGCTCGACGCGCTCGGCCTCGGCGCCGACCGCTCCGGCCTGGAGGCCGCGGTGGGCGGGTACATCCCGGCCGGCGCCGCGGGGCTCCGCTTCGAGGACTTCGAGTCCCTCCACCGCGCGCTCGGGGACGCGCTGTTCGGCCCCATCGCGGAGGAGGTGCCTGAGGAGGACGACGAGGAGGGGGACATGAAGGAGGCGTTCCGGGTGTTCGACGAGGACGGTGACGGCTTCATCTCGGCCGCCGAGCTGCAGGCCGTGCTCAAGAAGCTCGGCCTGCCCGAGGCTCGGAGCCTGGCCAGTGTGCAGGAGATGATCTGCAACGTCGACCGCAACTGCGACGGCCGCGTCGACTTCGGCGAATTCAAGAACATGATGCAGGGGATCACCGTGTGGGGCGCTTAGCTGCAGAGCGCCTGCGTTGTCACCCCCTCTACTGCGTGGTGTCATGTATGTATCTAGGCACCATATAATGCGCTTTTCTACCCGGTGCTTCTTCTTCCTCTTGAATCTTGACGGCGCAGTGGATTCTTGCTGTTCTTGGCTTTGATCTCTGACTTTGTTTGTAGTCTTGATAATTTCGAGGTCCACAGGCATTGTTTTCTTTAGTTTCTTTTTATTTTTTATGGAAGTTTCTTTTATTTGATTTACTCCGTATTTAATTATACGTTTTATTTTATTTATTTACATGTAAGAAGGACGTTGACCTTGACCAGCTTCCCTCCAAGTTTATGTTTCCTTCATTCATTCTTTCTTGATGCCTTGGGTCACCTACTCACCTATGCCTCTCCCAATCAACTCAGTTTACATATTCACTTGCGTCATTTGAAAAGGTTCTTTTTAGAAAGCAAAGGAGTTTTGCCATTTAACAACTGTTCCTTTTTTATATACTTTGCCCCTTCTCGTTCTTCCATTCATCAGTGCTTATGTAAATCAATTAGCACAAAAAAAAACTTTGGTTACTGAGCAAGTCTGGATTAAAATGTGTACGTCCGCAACCGCAAAGAAGACTTCTCCAGTCCTATAAACATCTACAGCTATGTCCATGACATGGTTCTTTACCTCTTAATTAATATAAGCTACTAGCAATTGAAAAACACAACTCTCAATACAAGGCTAACGGCTCTTTGAAGTTCTTTATATGTTCATCATTCGACATACCAGCATTACCCACATGCATGCGCAAAAATGGAGTGATAGCAGCTTCACATGGGCAGTGTCTCCATCGACTCCGCCCCATGGCTACCTACTAAGTGTTAGACATAATCTGTTGCTTTCATCTCTCCTGACTGATCGGCACAACTGTCCTCGCCTGGTTTAGGAGATGAAACTGGTCGGCTCGGCTGACCACTCACTGCTGTTACAGCAAAGCAGTGAGGCAGTAGGTAGAAATGGCTTACTTCAGCCATGTAGTGTAGAGATGGCTGAGCTAAGTCTTATATCTTAGGAGTAGGTAGTTGGTGTACTCACCAACAACTATGTATCTTAGGAGTAGTTAGTTGGTGTACTCACCAACAACCATGTACCTTAGGAATATGTTGTTGGTTTACCCTGGTATAGGTACAGCTAGAGTTGTATATATTCCATCCAAATATAATGGAAAAACTCAATTCAGTTTATCACATTCAGAAGCAGAGCTTTCGGTCAGCGCTGGACTTGTGTTGTGTGTGTGAGCTGTTCTCAATATCTTCTACCTTTAGCCATAGTGAGTGAGTGTGCTGGTAAGCTTACTGCTTACCTGTGCAGGGCAGCCGAGCCACTAACACTAAGCACGTGAAGATTGATACACTAACCAAAATATTCAAAGAAACCCACTTCAAGACTGCCACACCAGCTGATCAATCAATCAAGAGTGTTTCTTAATTGACAGCCTAGCTAACTAAACGCTCAAAGAAACTCACCTCACATGCTTGCATCATTGCATGTTTTTCAACACTTCATGAAGTTGCATATCACTTTCTTCTTTGAGTTATTATGAATTTTGTTTTCGGTTATATTTGGCGTGAATCTTCAGACATTGATTATTCAATTCCCCTCTTATTGCAGGTTTCTGGAGCATCTAAAGACTAGGGGGCCATTCGCAAAAATAATAATAATAGTATAAATAAATAAATAAATCTGATCAGTAACTGGTGCTAGGTTTAAAATTACTAAGGTTGTGTTAGTTTCGTAGCTTGGGGTGATGTTGTGTGTCCTACTGTCTTCAAAATGCACGTGATGATGCGAAAGGGCCTTTGGTCCAATGGTTCAGTGGGACGCTATTCACTAGGGTTTAAACCCTGTTATTGTTTTTTTTTTATTTTTTTTAGAAAAGGTAGGGCACACGCACACGTGCACATTTTGTGGTAAGCAATCTTTCTTTGCGTGTGTACAGACGCGCACGCATGTATACGTGTGGTGTGAGTGTGGAGTGTGTGAGTTATGTGCGTCTAGTTGTACCTGATAAAAAAAATGCAGGCCATGGCTTGTGATTTCAGTGTCTTCTAATTTTAACTTTGGTGGTTTTGCCCCCTAGTGTAGATATTGTGCTTCTGTACGTAGTATCTCCCTTGCTCTAATAAGCTTTCTGAACATGAGATATCCAGTTTATCTATCAACAAAACTGTTATGAACATGCTGGGTTTCTACTACGATGTAATTTGCCATCTTTCTTGGCACAACGAGCTTCATATAATAGTCAATTTTCATGTATATCTATATAACCGTTTGGTAGTTTCTAATTCAAAGCGTGCCTGAGCCCAATTCTATGGTGATCTAAGATTGACAAAAATGGCAAAGGACTTCTCGATTTGTTGGTTTTCGCTTAAGATATGACTATTAGTAGTTGTCATATTATGGGGATAAACAATTGTATAACCGTTCAGATTAGTCCTTCCTATTATGATTGACATTGTGCGATTGTTTAGATCTCTATTTTTTCATTTCAGGACAGGAAACGATATGAATAAGGTTTACTCGTTTGTGGGTAAACCTTATAATATGACAACTACTAATATATGACAACGTTAGAGTAAACCTTATTGTGGCTCAGAGGTTTACTTGTTTGTGGCACGGAGGTCTTTACTTTGGCCTGGTAGACTGAGCAAGTGGTAGTGCCTCGTGTTATAACCTACAGAATTGTGCATCCATCGTGAAAAGATGCCATCAGCCATAACAGAACCACGACTTTGTCAAACAAAACCTCTGATTATTTGGTATTAGCAAACCTCTGCAACTAATTCAACTAACTGTACTCGTACAACCTCAAGTACTACATCCTCATCATCAAAATTAAAATTACATTCATCACTTACATGGGAGAAATTTTACATGCCTCATACGGATTGCTGCTTATCTCTATGCCGTGCCATTGCTGGACTTTGGAGGCAAGAAGGGCTCCCACCATCCAAACTCATATTTAGGGTATGGAGCTGTCCATTTCTCAGGCTTCTCAAATTTCAACTCAACAGGGTTAGAAGCCAATGCCTCTTCAACTGATTCTGCGTCGAACTGGTCTTGTAAGACCCTGTCTAGCCTTAACTTCATGAATCTGGCAACAGATTAAAAGAGAGAAAAATGAAGAACATTAAGGCTTCAGTATTGCAACAAGCTAACAGAAGTGGACAGAAATAGACCAGCGACTTAAAGATAACCTGCCACTGATCATCTCAGTAGGTCTTTAGCTTATGAATTAGCATTTATCTATGACTACTCATATTGATAGCAGCAGGTCAAAGATGGTGGTGGCGAATATCATCATTTGGGACGCACATAGTCAAGCTCACAGATATAATGCTCTTAGCAGTGTTCTGGGCCCCAAGTATGGCTATGTTTACTTTCACTCACTTTTAGTAATCACTATGGTGCATCATGAAAGCCTCCGTTCCATAATGTAGGCCATTTTAGTTTTGTCCTAAGTCAAATTTCTCTAACTTTGATCAAATTTATAGAAAAATATATCAACATCTACAATACCAAATAAATGCACTACCAAGAGATAATTGATGGAGGATTTAATGAAACTAATTTGATGTTGTAGACATTTGATGCATTTTTCAACAATTTTTTTTTTCAAAATTAAAGAAGTTTGACATGGGACAAAACAGAAACAACCTAAGTGTTGGATGGAATAAAAGTTAGTGAGGGAAAAAAAGGAAAGAGGTGCCCTTAGGCACTACTATCCAATATTGTCAAGAATTCAGGGCATAACATAATCAAAGGATCCAACAACAGAAATAGGTGGGGTAAAATGCAGGAATACTTCAAAGTAAAAGAAACATCAAACACAACTACAGAAAGAAGTTACTAATTTAGGGTTGGCTTGACCGGATACAGGTAATATGTCATGCGGTCATGCAAAATATTAGAGTGAACCTTGAAGATGATATTCTAGCCAATTTTCAATTTTACAGTTTCACCACTGAAAAGTGGGCAGACCTAACCAGTTAGGCAGTCACGGTAGTTACACATTTGTCATATTTAAATTCGAGCTCTTCTTAGAAGTGAATACTTGAACCTGAATCAACTGTATCAGCATCCATCTTTTTTCACCGCACAGTATTGGACCAGAACATTCAAAGGTCACTTATGTTAGTGGATTAAAGGTACTCGATCTGTTTCAAATTATAGTTCGCTTTGTCTTAAGTCAAACTTCTCTAACTTGACCAAATTTTTAGAAAAAAATATATTAACATCTACAAGTTCAAATAGATGCACCATCGGAACCTATTTCATGGAGAATTTAATGAAACTAATTTGATGTTCTAGAGATTTTTTTAATGAACTTGATCAAAGTTAGAGAAGTTTGACTTAGCATAAAGTTAATGTGAACTATAATCTGGAACAGAGCAGATGGGAATGAAGGGAATATGTTGCGAGATTACCAAAGTGTAATGCTGTAAGTATACCCATATTTCAGGTGAGCGACATTGACTGTTGACAGTAAACACATGGCAAGGTGCACCACAAAGCCAATGCTGGGCATATGAGGATGCTGCTTTTGGGACAAATTACAATCTGAAGTGCTACCAGAAAAAAAAAACAATCGGAAGCATTTTGATTTGCTCGCCCTTTGTGATGCGTGACAGTGGCATATTCACACGGCGCTATAATGAAGCGATGGCTGGTTAGGAAAAACTACGAGGCAATGCAGGCACGCATTGGAATAGAATATAATCATTGTTCGATGCATAGACACTCACGTGATCCAGTTGCCGTCGGTGGAGACAAGCGCGACGGCGGGGCGCTTGAGGCGCTTGGTGATGTTGGGGAACCTGTCGAGGAACTTGGGCTCCACGACGAGCCAGAAGTCCTGCTCCTTGTCGCGCTCGCCGTAGTTGCGCAGCTTCTCGGCAAGCTGCTCCTGGAAGTGCTCCTCCTCGTCCAGCATGAACTTGGCGTTCGCCACCAGGAAGTAGTACGTCTTGGGCTTCTTCTCCTGCCCGCGAGCGCCACGGAGATCAAAACTGAACTCTACGAGCGCGCGCGCCACGGGGTAGAACGAACTCGACAGGAGGGGATCATACCTGCTCTGGAGGCTCGGGAGAGCCTTGCTGGTCGGCATCGACGGCCACGGCGCGGCGGACGCCACTGAAGCGCCGCGGCTGGTAGGAGGCGGCGACGGAAGGGGAGGCGCGGCTGGCGGGCCCGAACCAGGCCCGGGCGCGGGGCAGCGCGGCACGAGGCGGCGCGGGGGCCGCGCTGGGGCGGAGGGCGAGTGTCGCTGGAGCCACCATTGGCTCGGCGTCGGCTGGGCTCGGGCGCGACGCCGCCGGTGTAGTCGCGGTGTCGGACCGAGGTGAAGTGGACTGGGCGGCTCGTGCCGGAGAGGATAGAAGGGAGGGTGCGGAGGCGGAAGGCCTTATCTCCAGAGGAGTGGGGCAGAGCGGGCAATCGAGTAAGAGCGCAGCAGCGTGGTGACGGAAGTGAATTGTGATGGGCCGAAGCAACGATTTGGGCCAGTAGTTCGGGCCGCCCAAATTCCTACTGGCCAGTAGTTAGGAGCACGAAAGACTTTTGGGCCAGTAGGAATTTTGTGCCATCAAGAAGGACTTCAGGTTTGGCCATTTGGACCACATCCATGAACACGGTTGACAACTTGACATACATCCATGGCCCATGAACATGTTTTTCCCATGTAATGATTCAGCATTCAGGTGAAGGCATCAGGAATGATGAATCGTGATCTTGATGTCCCTCTCGCTTGTCCGTGCTGTCACCCAACCTGTAAGTCTGTTGGATGGCCACACTATGGCTTTGGCTTCTCGCTACCACCACCAAATCTATCAGGTGTGGTCATGGCCTAAATGACCCATGCTCTTTAATTCGCTCGTCGACAACGCGGTCATCTTCATTTCTTGGCAAAATCGATACGCAAGAGAGGATCGGGGACTGTTCAAACAAGGCGCACGGCCGCGTGTCTGTCTGCATGCGACTTGGTCGTTAGCTTGCTCATCCAGTCATCCACCATTCCACCTAGCATTTCTCCGCAAAGGAAAACGAGGGCGTCACATGGGCGAAGCCGCGAGCCCTCGTCTCGCTTGTTGCTGCGCATTCATGTCCTCCAGTTTTGGTAGAGCTCATCACTACACCCGCCCTCGTACTCAGAATCATCATCACTTATTGTAGGCTCGTTGCCGCCTCACTAGTAGTCGCTTGCGTCACGGCACAACCGCTGCTCCCTTATCGCCTACGGGTCCCCTGGCTGCAACTGCCACCACTACTCGAACCTTACCCTCGGTTATCGATCTATGCAACTGCTGCGAAAATATATAGCTGCACTGTTTATCATCACTATGTGAGGAACGTAGTGGGTTGCATATAAATGATAAACAGGCCTACGTAAGGAGACTCCAATCAAAATTTCATTCTCACTTAAATGGTGCCACCTAAGTAAATTTCATGAGATGACAAAGAACTAAAGAAAAAGAATGTTAAATAAGATTCATCTAGAGGAAAGACCTATGGATACTATTTCCAAATTCGTATATGTGACATGGAATTTAATGCAATGAGAGCGTATGAAACACAACAACTGAAACTACGCATTTAGAATGTTGTTTCAACCATGAATCTACTACCACCTAAAAAGCAAGAAGAGGTTTCGTGCACTTCGTGCGCGCGCCCGCCCTCCAGGCTACTACGGTGGCTACCATGCGAACCAAGAGTCCGAGACCGAGCTGAGGCCGTACTCGCAAAAAAAAAAAACGAGCCGAGGCAGCTGCATACCCATATTCTAATCTCTCTCCCTTCCTCCCTCGTCGCACGCCCGCAGTCTCGCACAACATCGGCGCCGCCGCACCGCGCGCATCACACACAGCAGCACGGCGAGCGGTGCCCACCACCAGATCAGCACCTCGACGCCCGCCTCCTTGCTTCCATAGCCCTGGTGTCAGGAAACTCCAGCAGGCTCCCATAGCTCCTCCGGGTCCTCCCCAACCGTCTGACCGGCAACGCCGCAGCAAGCAGCTGACCACAAGCCGTGGACCGGACTACCCACAGTGTATCAAATATCGATGCTCAAATGAGGAGAGAGAACGCTGAAATGAAGAGAGAGAAGAGTTCAGCATCGATGCAACACACTGCAGGGGCCGATGCTAGAGCAAGAAAACTCAGGCGTCGAGACATGTAGATGCATTGGTGCTGAAACGAATAAAAAATTATTTCACGAGCTGTTTCAGCATCGCTCACATTGTGCGCAGTCTTTCTCTGCTCACGATTCATCGGAGGCACAGCTCCACTCATCCAGTCATCCTAACCCAAGTGTCCAACAGCGATAGATTGGACTACAAGCGTTCCTGTTGTCTCCATTCATGGATTCATGCCTCCCTGATGACAAGGGTGAGCAGGATTGAGTCGATTTGGGTCAAACCAGTTTTCTGGTTGCGTGTTTCATGCTAGATGCGTGCTCGAACCATTGCTTTTGTGCACGTATCAAGCTACTAACTAAATGTTTGAATTAATGAATACTAATTTTCCTGTCATGCTCGGGTATTAATATTACCCGCACGGGTACGGGTATGGGTGACTTTTTCTACCGTGCGCATATACGGGTAACTCGACGGGAAAAATATCACCTAGCGAGTGCCAACGACGCCCACAGCCCACCGTCCAGACATCGTCAAACAAGTGCAGGTAATTCTCATCTCTATTTTTCTTTTTATAGGTGTAGAAGATTAAGCGTTCGAATTATTTTATCATTATCAGTTTTGATGACTCTCTCCTTCTATTTTTATAGTCACAATCTCTACTAATGGACGGAACAAACCAATTTAACAAAGGTAAATACTCTCATGTGTATATATATGTATTTCAAATATAGCAGAAATATTTTGTTAACTACGTCCTTCTGTTTTCCGAATTAAAAAAAATAGTTGACCAAACTGAATCCAATTCGCTTACCCAAGTCATCGATCCCAAAGAAAATTTGTGGCCACTGTGCAACGCACGGGCACATATATAGTCAAATACTATTTGTTGATGTGGCACAACAAAATGAAACTATACATTGATATTAGCCACAAAATTAAATGGTAGAAGAATTTATGTGTTCTATGAGCAGTATAAGGCAAAATCTAGATCAACCTAGCTAATAGTTAGCTGCTAAAAAAATAGCCGAAGTGAATCAAGGAGACCTAGGTGTCCCAATCTAGCTAATAAAACTAACAGATTGCACAAAATGTTGTTTTATTCTCTCTCACCTATCTTTATCCCCCGTGCCCTGCAAATAACAAATAAAAAATATGAGCATTATAGACAAAACATCCACCTTTTTAGCCGGTGAATCCAAACAACACCCATCCAATAGTTAGATAGCCGCCTCGGCTCTATTCGGCTGTCATTATAAGCCGGCTTATTAGCTATAGTATAATATTTTTCTCTCCCAACAAATCAGCCGTACAAATCAGCATAAGCGGCTTATAAACCAACCGAACATAGCCATACTCACTCATATTCTTTTATTAGGCGTGCAAGGGTTTAACCCAGATACGAAGATACCATCATGGTGTATTAACTATATGCACTGAATGTCGCGTTCAGTTGGACGTTGCCTCTCATGGCCCCACCCCGCGTACACTTGATTGACCATGGCCTAGACTCATGACTGCAACAACTACCATCCGTATGCTTGATTAGCTATAGTCAGGCTTATCATCCCTAACAACTATGTATGAGTAGTACAACTCGTAATGGTCTGACTTGGCACTAATGCAGCGCCTTATATTGAAGAAAAAAAAAATATGCTTATACGCCTTACAAAAGAATATGTACATATGGAGGAAGTACTAGGCAACTCTATTAGCCATATAACTGTTAGTGTGTTACTATCTCCGTGGGAAAAGAATGCAATTACACTTTTATCTCAATTCAAAACTATCTATAGTTTGACTAAATTACATTAAAAAAAAGTACCCCTATGACATCGATAGATAACATGTAAATACAATTCATGTCAAATCTAATAATATTTATTTGTTATATTGATATTTTTTTATAAATTCGGTCCAAGGTAAGATTGTTTAACTAAATAACCTGCTACTATCAATTTTTTAGACGGAAGGAATGGCTATAGTACATACAAGCAGGGCCCTAGTACTCTTGTAGTCTCGTGACGCGTGGAACTGTATCTTGAAGAGCTTCACGCCTGCATCGAACTTCTCCTCGTACTAGTACTACTGGAGTAAGTACTGCACATCAGCACATGAGCAGGAGTACATGGCAACTGGCATCATCCTTCCGAGTCGTAGCTGTCATCTTACGTTGTGCGTCAACCTCAAGCCATCGCCCATTGACCGCCGTCGCAAGCAAACGCCAAAAGGAGAATGTAGTGGCAGCGGTGAGCACGTTAATGCATGCCGCGTCACCAAGCCCTGTCGCCCCTCGCCTGTCGGTGGAAGCAGAGCAACAAAATACAGTACGATGCCATCGGCAGCGCTCTTTTGCCTTTTTTTTTTCTTGCGACAACAAACAGATCGCTCTCAGAGAAAAAAGCACGCTGCTTTGGCCTTTGGGTAATCAATGGCCTGCTGGTGGCCGACGCCGATCCAATATCCATCCGAGCCATGCATGCCGTCAGAGGAATGTTACGGCGACCACCCGATCCGGGCATGGCGCCGTGAACCGTGATCGATTGCTTTGCTTCGGACGTGTACCGCCGGCACTGCGCACCGTGCTGCCGTTCTCCGTTAATTACACCCAATTGAACCTTGTCCCCTGGGAATTACGTATGTTCTTAATTGTGAGGGTAGCAGAAGCATAGAAAGCATGGACGCTGCTTGCACGGCATGGGCTACCTACGACTACGAGGCTATCTCTCTTTTTTTAAGGGACACTCCATATCTTGACTGAAGCCACGAACAACTTTCAGATTAAACAAGAACCGGCTAAAGTGTAGACTCACTCCACCCAATAAACTGGCCAGTAGTGGTATGACTGCAGTATCAAAGTGTGTGTTTCAGACGCTAGACAAGCAACACTTACGTGCATGTAGTACACAGCCTTTTCCTCTGTAAATTACTCACCGTGCACCTAATCCAGGATTAGTCTGACTATTATTTATTATATTACACACCGTCGTCTTTGCAGAGATGTCCATATATATATATATATAATAATATATATATATATATATATATATATATATATATAATAACTTTGAAGTCTGATAATTACCATGCTAATTTACGAGATTACGATAACTCCTTACTAAGTGATTTATCTGTAATATTATCGTAAA